TGAATCTGAAAAAAACAAGTCATGGTACACTTAATTGTAGTACTTTGAACCAGTTGAATTACAAGAAAAATTAATATCTGCAGTTGGCCTACTTTGATCGAAACGGACAGCAAAACATTTTTATTGTTCATTTTACAAAGAAAAATTCATTTAAAATATGCAGTTAGTTATAGCATTAGTTTATATTATGTAAGATATTAGTGTGCTTATATTTTTATGTAGATTCAGAAAATCAAAAAATATTTAGTAACCCATTAAAAAATATCATACACGAGGTTAAAAACTGTTATGTTACAGAAAAATAGTGTGTACACCACTGGATTCTACACAAAGATGTATAAAACTTTAAATTAAAAATTTTCACAAACAAAAAAGTTATATACAGCGTGGGCCATTAGTGGTGAGAAAGTACAATAACTCCCTTGCTATTCATAATACAGAAAAAAGTTTATACAAAAATTGTACAGAATCAAGAAACCCAAACTACAACTTGAAACATACAGGGTGATTAGTAAAAACGGGACACGCTAAATATTACATTTTTTAAATGGAACACCATGTATATTTTTAAACATGGATTTCTGAGAAAATTCTATATACGGCAATATAAACAGTTTATCATTTTTGTGCGGGATTGCCAAGTTATATAGAATATTCTTCAAATTTTGGAAAAACATGACCTGGAAGAAGTTATATTAACTTTCAACTGCTAATACGTGGAGCAAAAATATTGGACAGAGTTATTGGCAAAGGCACCTATATTAGCTAATATTAATATTTTATACCGGGCATTTTTTATAATATGATCATTTTTAGATAGTTTAAACTTGATTTTCTAAAATTTTTCAAATAGAACACTCTATATTTTATTGTTCTATCTTATTCACATATCGGTCCACTTCAACTTTCATTAAGCATGTTCTACACGTAAAATTATTAGTTTTTGAGATAGTAACATTTCTGAAAAACTAAATTTTTATTATTTTCGGTCGCACGAGATGCCTTTGGAAAAAAACTGTCACATTGTGTCAACTTATCTGTTACTAGTAATTATTTATTAGTTGATATTCTATAAAATAATTTTGAATTATACGTATTTGATTATAAAAAAACCGTATTAGAACATAAAAATACAGTTTATTTATTAAATGAAAATAAAATAGATACGAAAATAAATCAAATATTTAATTTTACAAGTGTTCAAAATAACGGCCGTCTTGGTTTAGGCATAGCTCTACATGTCGTTCAAATGTGGTGTTAACATTATCCAGAATATCAATGTTGATATTTTGAAAAACTCGTAGGATTTGGTTTTTCATATCCTCTTTGGTAGTTTGGTATACCACATTCTCTGAATATTCAGCAGTACATTTTCTAATAGTTTTTCCAGATATAGTTGCCCTCTTAAATGTTCTTCAGAAAAATAAGGCCTAATAATGTAAAGTTCAATAATCCCACCCCAAACATTGAGTGACCACACAAATTATTTTATAGAATACCTAATAAATATTTACTAGTAACTGACAAGTTACACAATGTGACAGTTTTTTCCAAAGCTATCTCGTGCGACCAAAAATAATAAAAATTTAGTTTTTCAGAAATGTTGCTATATCTTAAAAACTAACAATTTTAGATGTAGAACATACTTAATAAAAGTTGATGTAGACTGATATGTGAAGAAAATAGAACAATAAAATACAGGGTGTTCCATTTAAAAAATTTTAGAAAATCAAGTTTGAACTTTTTAAAAATGATTATATTATAAAAAATGCCCTGTATAAAATATCGATATTAGCTAATATAGGAGTCTTTGCTTAACATTTGCCTATAACTCTGTCAAATATTTTTGCTCCAAGTGTTAGTAGTTGATATACAACTTTTTCGGGGTCATGTTTTTTCCAAAATTCGAGGAATTTTCTACATAACTTGGCAACCCCGCACTAAAATGTTAAACTGTTTATATTGCCATATATAGAATTTTCTCAGAAATCCATGTTTAAAAATATACAGGGTGTTCCATTTAAAAAGTGTAATCTTTGGCATGTCCTGTTTTTACTAATCACCCTGTATGTTTCAAATTAATTTTGTAGTTTAGGTTTCTTGATTTTTTATAACTTTTATATAAACTTTTTTTCTGTATTATGAGTAACAAGGGAGAAAAAAATGAAAATTGATCTGTAAATATATTTTTTTTAAATCGAACCAATGATATTTTAACCACTTTTTGTCTGCCTCCTCAGGTAGCACGAGAATCTTCCTAAAAGTATTGAAATAGGACATTGTATATATTATGTCCTAATTTCAATACTTTGATACAGATACAGTGAATATATTAGTATTCTTCTTTTTATGTTAAAAATGATTTTGTTATGGTCAGAAGAAAACAAAAATATTATTACATTTTCACTAATTCAGGCAATCTGTTTATTTCAAGCTCTTTTAATATCAGTAATAAATCGGAAGTCGATCTCGCAAAGGCTACATATCGTTGAAGGACAAAATGTAATCACAGCCTTTAACTTTTCATTTTTAGGAATTTCATTTGTTAATAATTTAAGGTGTATTAAAGTTCAAAACTTGTAAGCAAATCGTAACCTGTCAAGTCCAAAATGAACAGTACCTGAAAATGTTTCAAATCAGAAATTGGACACCTATAAAAAATTAAGAAAATCTGATATCAAAACATAGATATATGTAATTGTTTATTTAGTAGCTTTTAATTAAAGATTCAAAATACAATCCTAGATATTTACAATTATACATGCCACATTTCCACAGTCACAGAACTTCTTTTTAGTCAAAAATAAATTATTTTATAACGCCACACTGGATTTGAATCATGCCAGATAGCTGTAGGTGTCTTTCTGTCCTTCAGTCCTTTCAAGGTATTCTTTTTCAATTAGAATATCTATACATTTCTGCAAGAAACACAAAATGTTACAAACAGAAGATGTTTTTCGTACTTTACACATCATTTTAAAAATGTACGGGATGATTCTATTCTTTTTTTTTATCAAACTTTATGAACACATAGACTAGGTTATCAAATAATAAAGTTATACAGAGTGTTTCGCATAAGAACCGACACAGGCTAGAGCAGGGATGCACAGACTTATAGGGAACAGGGGCCACTCGGGAAAAATATAAGTCAAGGACGGACCACTACAAACAATATTTATTAACACAAAATTTTTTATTTTTAAATAGTATGAAATACAATGATAAAAATAAAATAACCTTCAAAAATGTTTGTTGTAATAATTATGTAATCATTACAATGTAATATTTCATGTTTTATTATTTTGATGCATGACATTGCATTGAACTAACAAGTTTTTTTATATTTGGCTCCACATTACTTGTAGCCACACGTATAATTGCTTCCAAATTTTCATTTGCCAGACGGTTTCGGTTTTTCGTTTTGTTAAGTTTCATCACTGAAAANAAAAAATGATAAAAAAAATTCAACTTCAACACCCTGTATTTCGAAAATAGTTCAGATTTCGAAATAAGTTTATATAGTAAAGTCCCTTTAATTTTATCGGATCTACCTTTTCCTGAATTTTTTCAGAATAAAAATGGGACACCCTGTATAGAATTTTCTCAGAAATCCATGTTTAAAAATATACAAGGTGTTCCACTTAAAAAATGTAATCTTTGGCGTGTCCTGTTTTTACTAATCACCCTGTATGTTTCAAATAAATTTTGTAGTCAAGGTTTCTTGATTTTTTACAACTTTTATATAAACTTTTTTTCTGTATTATGAGTAACAAGGGAAAAAAAAATGGTCAAAAATGAAAATTGATCTGTAAATATCTTTTAAGGAAATCTAAGAACCGAAATACGGTTTTTAACGTGTTTTTTTTTTGAAAATCAAACCAATGATATTTTAACCACTTTTTGTCTGCCTCCTTAGGCAGCACGAGCATCTTCCTAAAAGTATTGAAATAGGACATTGTATATATTATGTCCTATTTCAATACTTTAATACAGATACAGTGAATATATTAGTATTCTTCTTTTTATGTTAAAAATGATTGTGTTATGGTCAGAAAAAAAAAATATTATTACATTTTCACTAATTCAGGCAATCTGTTTATTTCAAGCTCTTTTAATATCAGTAATAAATCGGAAGTCGATCTCGCAAAGGCTACATATCGTTGAAGGACAAAATGTAATCACAGCCTTTAACTTTTCATTTTTAGGAATTTCATTTGTTAATAATTTAAAGTATTAAAGTTCAAAACTTGTAAGCAAATCGTAACCTGTCAAGTCCAAAATGAACAGTACCTGAAAATGTTTCAAATCAGAAATTGGACACCTATAAAAAATTAAGAAAATCTGATATCAAAACATAGATATATGTAATTGTTTATTTAGTAGCTTTTAATTAAAGATTCAAAATACAATCCTAGATATTTACAATTATACATGCCACATTTCCACAGTCACAGAACTTCTTTTTAGTCAAAAATAAATTATTTTATAACGCCACACTGGATTTGAATCATGCCAGATAGCTGTAGGTGTCTTTCTGTCCTTCAGTCCTTTCAAGGTATTCTTTTTCAATTAGAATATCTATACATTTCTGCAAGAAACACAAAATGTTACAAACAGAAGATGTTTTTCGTACTTTACACATCATTTTAAAAATGTACGGGATGATTCTATTCTTTTTTTTTATCAAACTTTATGAACACATAGACTAGGTTATCAAATAATAAAGTTATACAGAGTGTTTCGCATAAGAACCGACACAGGCTAGAGCAGGGATGCACAGACTTATAGGGAACAGGGGCCACTCGGGAAAAATATAAGCCAAGGACGGACCACTACAAACAATATTTATTAACACAAAATTTTTTATTTTTAAATAGTATGAAATACAATGATAAAAATAAAATAACCTTCAAAAATGTTTGTNAGTCCAAAATTAACAGTACCTGAAAATGTTTCAAATCAGAAATTGGACACCTATAAAAAATTAAGAAAATCTGATATCAAAACATAGATATATGTAATTGTTTATTTAGTAGCTTTTAATTAAAGATTCAAAATACAATCCTAGATATTTACAATTATACATGCCACATTTCCACAGTCACAGAACTTCTTTTTAGTCAAAAATAAATTATTTTATAACGCCACACTGGATTTGAATCATGCCAGATAGCTGTAGGTGTCTTTCTGTCCTTCAGTCCTTTCAAGGTATTCTTTTTCAATTAGAATATCTATACATTTCTGCAAGAAACACAAAATGTTACAAACAGAAGATGTTTTTCGTACTTTACACATCATTTTAAAAATGTACGACTCTATTCTTTTTTTATCAAACTTTACAAACACATAGATTAGATTATCAAATAATAAAGTTATACAGGGTGTTTCGCATAAGAACTGAGACAGGCTAGAGGCATGTAGAACCCAAAATATGAAAGTGGAGTTTCAAATTTCAAAAAAATTTATAACTCAAATTATACCTACTTGAACTTAGAAAAACCAAATTTGGTACACGGTGTGAGTGTACCAAGAGTATTAATCGACAGTAAGTAGAGTTCAATTGAAGCATTTTAAAGGTTGATAAGGGATGATCCACAATTAAAATGTGACAGAATTTTTTAACCCATTAGCAGACACAACAAAAACAGGAATAACTAATAATATGTATTGTAGTAGTTATTTAAAATAATAGAAAATTCAAAGGTTGGCTTTGAATTTAAACATCAAAGAAGCAATCAGCAGTTTATAGTACGAGATCCGACTGCGAGATTACTACTTTCATCTGTTTTTTAAACGAAAAACAATTCTTATAGATAATTCTGAACAGAGGAATATGTTTCTGCTGGGTTGCCTATCAATGTATTACCGCAAATTAATTTAAATTAATGCAAAAAGGGGTTGCCAACTGTTAAAGTTAGACTAGAAGGTAGGCAAGTCGGCATTCACCGACTTGACCTTTTGCTTGTGCCTGCGGGCGGTGAGCTCTGTCCACGTGGGGAAGGGAGAACATTTAAAAAAAAAAACCTAACCCACCCGCAATTCGAACCAGACCTTCAGCTTCGCCTCTAAAAAATCAGAACCGATGCCTAATGGCAAAATAACGGTGTGATCCGATCGGTCGGGAAAACACGTCAAAAGACGTATAATTAATTCAACATATAGAAAATATGACTTCAATCTAAAATTTACTATTCAAAAACTGCGACTATATCAACATGTGAACTTCAATAATAAAATGAAGACAGTACCAACAAAAATAGAATTTTATGCATCGAATAAATAATTAATAAAAGCTACATTACAGGCACGAGCGAAAGGCCAAGTTGGCAAATGCCGACTTGCCTACCTTTCTAGTCTAATTTTAACAGTTGGCAACACCTATTTGCGGCCACTTTTACATAGGTAACCCTATTGCATCGTGTACAGATAAAAATTTGCTTTAATTTGAAATATATTTTATGAGGATACGTTATGAACGTATAAATTGAACACCTGGTTGCCAGGAGGTAACGGTCAAGTGAACAATGGCAATCCAAACTTTTTAAGTTCTTTACATTTCTCTGTGAAATGAATTATAATTTATTTTAAAAACAAGTGAGCTTCCCGAGGACAAGGTCTATCCTCATCAAGGAATGTGGATACGTTCTGGAGTCATTGGCCAGACGAAGAGAGGTAGAGTTGGTTTGGCCACATGGGTATCACTGGTAATGAGAGGGCTGATCAACTAGCTCGTCTCGGATCTAGGGGCTGTCCAGGAACCTGAATCAATCCTAGGAATTAGACTAGGTAGCACTAACGGGGCCCTTATTATACTTTAGGTCAGAACTGAAGCAGAAATAGAGGATGAGAAATAGAGACGAGATGGTTGCTGAACCTTAGTCGAAGAGCTCTAAACCAAATGGTGGGGGTTCTGACAGGCCATTGTAGACTTAGGAGGCATTTAAGTTTAATAGGAATTGAATAGGACCCTCTATGCCCGAAATGTCAAGTAAGGTAGGCCATCCATCCACCTTCTGGGACTGTGCAGCCTTTGGGAGGATAAGACATAAAGTTTTTGTTTTTAGAATTCAATTCCCCATAAAATAAAGTAATAACTATTTAAGTCCGCCAACGAGTTACAGGTCACATTTTAATGATGCGTCATCACTTTACAACCCTTTAAAATGCTTCAATTGAATTCTACTTACTGTCCATCAATGCTCTTGGTAGAGTCACACCATGTACCAAATTTGTTTTTTCTAAGTTCGACATATGCATTTACTGAGAATTTAGTTTTTCAAATTTAATTTGTTTAAAATTGACTTTGAAAAAATGTTAATATTTATTAAATTGTTAAGATAGGTAAAAATTGTTGTTGTAAGTTGATTAGAAGCTGAGATAATTTTTTTTATTTATTTAATCGCAGTGACCNCAGCAGTTTATAGTACGAGATCTGACTGCGAGATTACTACTTTCATCTGTTTTTTAAACGAAAAACAATTTTTATAAATAATTCTGAACCGAGGAATATGTTTCTGCTGGGTTGCCTATCAAAGTATGGCCACAAATATTTTTAATTAAAACTAAATTAATTAAATTTTTCCAAATAATTTCAATCACTTGTTTTTAAAATAAATTATAATTCATTTCATAGAGATATATGTATAGAACTTAAAAAGTTTGCGTGCCATTGCTCACTTGGCTGCTACCTCATGGCAACCGGGTGTAAACAGGTTCTGTTCAATTTATACGTTCATAACGTATCATAAATTATATATCAAATTAATGCTCATTTTTTTCTGTACATGATGGAATAGTGGCCGCAAAAAGGAGTTGCCAACTGTTAAAGTTAGACTAGAAGGTAGGCAAGTCGGCATTCACCGACTTCACCTTTTGCTTGTGCCTGCGGGCGGTGAGCTGTCCCCGTGGGGAAGGGAGAACATTTTTCAAAAAAAAACCTGACCCACCCGCGATTCGAACTAGACCTTCAGCTTTGCCTCTAAAAAATCAGAACCAATGCCTAACGGCAAAATAATGGTGTGATCCGATCGGTTGGGAAAACACGTCAAAAGACGTATAATTAATTCAACATATAGAAAATATGACTTCAATCTAAAATTTACTGTTCAAAAACTGCGACTATTTCAACATGTGAACTTCAATAATAAAATGAAGACAGTACCAATAAAAATAGAATTTTATGTATCGAATAAATAATTAATAAAAGCTACATTACAGGCACGAGCGAAAGGCCAAGTTGGCAAATGCCGACTTGCCTACCTTTCTAGTCTAATTTTAACAGTTGGCAACACCTATTTGTGGCCACTTTTACATAGGTAACCCTATTGCATAGTGTACAGAAAAAAATTTGCTTTAATTTGATATATAATTTATGAGGATATGTTATGAACATATAAATTGAACACCTGGTTGCTAGGAGGTAACGGTCAAGTGAACAATGGCAACCCAAAATTTTTAAGTTCTTTACATTTCTCTGTGAAATGAATTATAATTTATTTTAAAAACAAGTGAGCTTCCCGAGGACAAGGTCTACCCTCATCAAGGGATGTGGAGAAGTTCTGGAATCATTGGCCAGACGAAGAGAGGTAGAGTTGGTTTGGGTTCCAGACCACATGGGTATCGCTGGTAATGAGAAGGCTGATCAACTAGCTTGTCTCAGATCTAGGGGACCTGGCCAGGAACCTGAATCAATCCTAGGAATTAGACTAGGTAGCATTAACGGGGCCCTTAATATACTTTAAGTCAGAACTGGATCAGAAATAGAGAATGGGATGAGAAATAGAGACGAGATGGTTGCTGAACCTTAGTCGAAGAGCTCTAAACCGAATGGTGGGGGTTCTGACAGGCCATTGCAGACTTAGGAGGCATTTAAGTTTAATAGGAATTGAGGAGGACCCTCTATGACCAAAATGTGGAGTAGGGGAGAACATCCATCCACCTTCTGGAACACTGTGCAGCCTTTGGGAGGATAAGACACAAAGTATTTATTTTTAGAATTCAATTCCCTATAAAATAAAGTAATAACTTTTTAAGTCGGCCAACAAGTTAAGGGTCACATTTAAATGGTGCATCATCACTTACAACCCTTTAAAATACTTCAATTGAATTCTATTTACTGTCGATTAATGCTCTTGGTACAGTCACACCATGTACCAAATTTAGTTTTTCTAAGTTCAAGTATAACTGATATTGATTTTTTTTCGAAATTTGAAACCCCACTTTCAAGACTTATAACTTCTTAAGGATGCAGCTTAGTATAAAGTTAAGTTGTGTTAAATCACCATATTTTGGGTTCTCTGTCGGTTCTTATGCAAAACACCCTGTATATGTACTTTATTTGAAAAATGTTTATTTTTTAAATATTCTATTTAAATATTTCACAACGTAAATATTTTTCGAATGTAGTATGTAAATATTAAAAATAGTATTTTTTAAATTTTTGACAATCCACCTGGTTTTTAAACATTATTTTTAAAAAATCCACGCCCTTATACCATACTAGAAAAAATAGTGACAAATCATTTACAGGTCTGAAGATTTGGTTCTTTCCGATTAAAACAGAAATACTTGATTAATACTTAAAAATAAATTAACTAGTATGGATATCACAAAAAATTAAAACTATTGAAAATATGCTTATTCTTTAAAAAATTTTTTATATCATCACTTTATTCTGTGATTATTTAAAATGGCCTTAAAATGAAATTTACCTTTATAATGTGAACCCTTGGTTTAAACCTCGATGAAAGTTGATTTAAAACTTCAGCCACCAGTTGTTGATGCTTAAGGACTTTTCTCATTTTCATAATTCGGACAATAGCGGCTTGGATTAATAACTTTCTGTCCTCTTCTATGTGTTTGTGGGTAGTCTCTTGTTCCATCTTAAGTTCTGTCTTCATCGGTACGTTTATATTAACTCGTAGCTTTTTACTATAAACAATCCATAAACCAATTAGAAATGTGTGTAAAACCAAATTTTAATACGCAACATTAAAATTTCCGACATTTTAAAAGTACTTACTTTTTAAATCCTAAATGTAGACTTATAACAGAATTTGGACTAAGATCATTTTCGTCGTCTTCGCACGTAAGCAGTTTAGCTTTAAGTAGAATTTGAAGGACCTGTATTAGAAAATCTGTTTTGATTTGAGTATTTTCCTCAAGTTGAGCTATTGTCCATGTGTCAGATACGTTGAATTGTAAGAGAACGGCCATTTGGAAGGTACTGGCCTGCAGTGTGTATCTGAAATATATCACAAATTTTAATATGAACAAACTCCATACAGGAATTCCGCAGGGATCCAACTTGGGACCTCTGTTACCTTCAATTTTCATTAATGATTTAACCAATTCTATTAAATGCCCGAACTTTTTTCGCTGATGATCTTAAATTTTACAGTAAAATATATAGTATTCATGACTGTTATCATTTACAATCAATTATCGATCTCATATTAAAGTGGTGTAAAAATATGACATTTATATCAATGTTTCAAAATATAATATAGTATCATACACTAGGAAAAAAATAAGTATTACAGGGTGTTCCTTAATGACATGGGAATATTTAAGTGTATGATTCTACAGGGAAAATTATATTTTGCTCTACAGGGTGTTCTCAAAGTTGAGTCATTTATTTTAACAGCTGGTAGAACTCATAAAAAAAGTTGATTTACCAAAAATCGTTTTTATAAAAGTGATCAAATAAAGGAATTATTAACAATTATTTAAAAAAATTGAAATCTAAAAACTATAATACAAACCTGATTTATTGTCATGTTCGACCACTCCGTTGTAAAAACATAAATTGTTTGTTTAATACTGGTACTACGTATGTTTTTTTTGTAATTGCACGGTTTTGAGTACGTTTTTCGATTTGACAGTGCTAAATAATTCGTACAATAGTGTGTGATATTATTTTTGATTTGTGGATGTTTTGTGCAATAAAAATGGCACGTTTATGAACACAATGTGGACATAATATTAACTTGCAGGGTGTGTCAACAAAATGTTATACAAATAATTGCTTTATTTGACCACTTTTATATAAACGATTTTAGGTAAATTGACTTCTTTTTATGAGTTCTATCAGCTGTTAAAATAAATGACTCAATTTTGAGAACACCCTGTATACACTATGGTCCAAAAATGTTTTGTTGTGAAAATACGGGGAGTTAAAATTTTAGGAAAAAGAAGGAAATTAATTAATATTTTCTAAACTGCTTGACTTACTTGAAAATGTCAGAAATGCAAGTTCAACTAGGTTTATTGAAAAATGGTATTCTTCAATAATTACATTAATTAATTACAGGCAATACAATGCCTTTTATTTTTTTAGTCAAAATGGGCGCATCGCAGGACAAAAACACAAGAGAAGGGAAAAAAACTATTGGCGTACCATTTTTTTCTTTAAAAATATCAAAGTCGGTACTCGTATGCACGCCACTTTAGAGTTAAAAATTATGTTTGTACTGAAAAACATGCGCCTTTATTAAATATCGCTACATACTAAATGTTACTAAAATATCTCAAGTGATTTCGAAAATATTAATAAACTTCCTTCTTTTTCCTAAAATTTTAACACTGTATTTTCGAAACGGAACATTTTCGGATCATAGTTTATGAAGTAAAGTATCATTAATTTTCCCTGTAGAATCACACACTTAGATATTACCATGTCACTAAAGCAAACTATCATTAATTTTCCATGTACAATCACACCCTTACATATTCGCATATCATTAAGGAACACCCTGTATAATTATCACCTTGAATCTATCGCTATAAATAGTTTCAGATACTTTAAAAATATTGTGCTTTCTGCTTCGAAAATACCCCTACGTCAAAAGGATCAGTCAAAGACTATTTTTCATGGAAGAATTACACACTAAATGGATACGTGGCAAATGAAATATAAGATCATCTATTATTGGAAAAAAAAAACTAAATTCATTTAAAAATATATAAAATTATTTAAACAATTTTAAATATTCCTTTGCATTAACGCTTTGTGAATTTTAAAATTTCATTTTTTATACATCCAAATTCTTTTTTTTTTACAAAATAATACTATTACCAAAAAATATGAATAAAAACATGAATTGAAAACAGTTTTGCTCAGACTTGTAGTAACAAAATATAAAATAATTTTTATAAAACAGATTAATTATAAAAAAATATCACACATTATAAAAAAAAGAGAAGCCACAATCAAAATTCTGTTATTTGTAGAGGTGATCCATCAAAGTATGGAATCGTTCTCTTTTGCCTAAATTTTGATAAAACTGATTTTAATTAAACTCGATTTGCTTTTTGTTTCCGAGAACAGAAAAACCAGAACTTACCATTCTATTTACAAAAGTTCCAATGAACGTAATAGGTTGCAAAATGTGTTGATATAAAACGTGTGTCATATTTGAGATTTTAATGTACTCACCTATTTTTAAAACAATTTGTGTTCAGTTCACCTTTCGACATGTTGTAAAGCCAATTTAACTTCCTACCCGAGTGCTGTCCTGAGTAAAAATTTGTAAACCTATGTACGCTACGTTCCAACTAAAATATAAATATAGTTAATTCAAGCACAACTCGAGGCGTAGATATACCTCTGAGGGCAGTCCAAATGTGAACGATTGTTGAAAAGGCCAGGAACCTGATGATAATACTTGAATACTAAAGTCTATTCCTAAAGATTCGTTTGATTTAACTAGGTGATTCCTAAACTGTTCATTCAAGTCCTTTGATACACCAATGTCCTAAAAGATACGCACCTAAATTTATTGACTAAACAAATAATGTATGAGACCTTGGAAGAGCCAACAAATATATTAGTTTAACTTATATTATGTCAAATGTTGTACAAGCAGAAAAAGTACAATTCCAAATTCCGAGTCAGAAAAATACAAGTTGTATGTCAGCAAAATATAATGTTTTAAGTTTAAATGAGAAAAATGCGACGTACATGGAAGTTCCAAGTTATAAATCGAGAAAATCTCATTTCAACAGCAGGTTAAGTTAGGTTAGGTTAGGACTATCGAATAACAAATGACTCGTAACCAGTGTTTGTTAAATCCGAATATGTATCCATAATCGTAATATAGAATTGAAGTACTGGTACTGGCACTGGCAATTAGTAATTGTATTACGTTATTACATATTCGGATTCGTACGTCATCATATTACGTTACGACAAGGCGTGGTGAAAGCCAGGAGCATCCGATTTGCTCCTGACCGAATTATTTGTTATAGGATAGGTATATTATTTTATTGCATATCCCAGTCCTGCCACTCCACTATCTAGTCGTCTACTAGACTCTACACAACTCTCTAGAGCAGCGGTCAGCAACTGGCGGAAGGTAAAAAACGACCGCCAAAATTTTTTTGAAATAATAATTACTTAAATTATTTAAAAAATATATTTTACGTTTGAGTGCCACCCTTATCATTTTTTCTAGTATTTTACAATTGTGACTGATTTGAGTTCTTAATCGTTAGTAGTTAGATTAAATACATAGTTGCTATGATGTGTAGTGCAGGAGAGTGCGCGGGAGTGCGAAAGGGAGCAAGCTGGCTCTAAAATGATAAAGTTATCTTTCGGGCGGGTGCACTCGGAGGCGGCGACATTTGACATGTTCCAGAAAAGTATGGAAATTGCAAAAAATTAGCCATTCACCTAGCCACTGCGTTTGGCTTCACAAATGTTTGTGAAACTTCATTTTCAAAAATGAATTTTTTGAAGAACCAATATCGCTCAAAATTAGCGGCCGCCCACTTTGAAGACACTTCACATAAGCTGCTCCCTGCGTGGCCCTAACTTAAAAAAACTGTCTCAAGACGACAAATGTAATTTTTCCAATTGATTTTTGAATACAAATAATACCTATCTATTGTATTGCATATTATTTTATGTGTGCATAGTAAAATAAAAAATTAGTACCTAAGGAATATGAGTTTTTTCTGGACCTCGTTAAAAATTTTCAAAAGTATCCGGACCCCACCTAAAATGACTTGCCGACCCATGATCTAGAGCAGGGGTCGGCAACTGGCAGACCGGCAGACTGGAAGGTAAAATACTGGACCGCCAAAAATTTTTTGAAGGTATAAATTACTTGAATAAATTATTTAAAAAATGTTTTTTTGTGTTTGAGTGTTTTTTCTAGTATTTTACAATTGTGTGAGTGTTTTGAGTTCTTAATGGTTAGTAAGCAGATTAAATTTGAGTCCAAATTAAAATAAAATTTTTTTTAAAAATATCAATTTTCTTTCTGGACCTCATTAAAAATTTTCAAAAGTATCCGGACCCCACCTAAAATTACTTGCCGACCCCTGGTCTAGA